TTAAAGTTGGTCTGATGTTTTAAGATTGGGCATTCTGGGGGTGACGTCTTAGAGTACTGGATTATGCTCTAGAGGTTTGTCTGTCTGGAGGATTCCTTCAAATGCAGGTTCTTCTTGCTATGGGAGGTGGAATGAGATTTTGGCTTCAATGGCAGTGTACAAAACAGATTAGCAAGTGATCAGAACGTCCTAGTCGTAAATGCAACAGTTGGGCCAGAGAACTGCAAAGGGATTGATTCAAAAAATCACCAAAAAGGAACCCCAAGACTTGCCGCCTGTTGCCCAGTGCGTTGAGAGCAGTGACGCTTGTGAGGACCTGTTGCGTGAAAGAAAGCAGGCCCCTCTTTGTTAGCTGCCGAGATCAGGACAAGACTATGGAGGATGCTGCACTGCCTCCTTTGGAAGCAGCCATCCAGACTGCGCACAGCCACTTCTTCGTCGAAGAGGACTTCCATTAGGCAATCAAGCACATGATGCAACGTGCACAAATTTTGCGATGCAACGATACAGTGAGTGTGCAGTATGTTTGTGATGTTGTAAGTTCATGTCTGGACACGGCTTACTCAGAGCCTCGCAGTTGTGACTTGGAGAAGTCCACATTTCAGCAAGTACAGAGCCCGCATTTGACTAATAGATCGCCTTGCATGTGGACAGTGAGAACATTGTGTGCGGAGGATAGTACCACAATAATGCAATTTCAGGTGGTATCCATGTAAGGCGAGTACCGAGCATAAGGAAGTCGTTTGCTTGTTCATTGTATCGTACCTGCAGTCCTCATGCAGTGCAGAAGTAGGAAAGCGGACTAGCGTCAATAGCAAGGCGACTTGTAGCAAGAAGCTTGAGCAAGCGTTGTGTGAGGAGATGGATATGCTTTGGTCGGGGTCGCTGCAGGCTTGTGCCTAAAGTCAATGTCAATCACTGGGGCTTGGAAGTTGGAAAAGAAGTGCTTGCATTAGTCAGGGGTGCAAGAAGAAGTGAGAGTACCTTATTCGCGGGTGTGTTGCACTTGTCAAAATGTGTAGGGTAAGAAGTCAGCTTCAAAGCACTTTGCATACAATTCGAGTTGATTGCCGGTGCCATCCAGTAGGCCGCTATTTGCATTTGGCGCTGAAGATATGGAAGGACGCCTTGTGACAAAGAGTTACCCCGACATTTGTTTGAATCGGTTTTGCTTGCTATGGATGCATGTGTTCTAGCATGCAGACGAGGAAAGTCGTCAAGAGCTTCCAGTCTCTGAACTAGTTTAGCCTATGCCGCTTTGATTTACACTTTGTTGGATTCATCCAGATTCTTGCTCTCGTCCTAGGATTGTGATCACCATGTGGGGACCTTCCTCAAACAAGGAATTCGGAAACCCCACATACTTCATCAATACTGTCCCGCAGTGACCTCACTTAAATGTTACCCCGAGGTCGAACGTCAAGCCCGAGCCTTTAAGCGTTCAACCCATTTCCCCCGGCCCACAAATCTTGGACACACTAAGCCTGAACACGCCAAAGCTTTTCAGCCCTAAACCCACTTGCCATGCACCCCCAAAATAGGCAACTCGCCAAAACCCTTAGCCCAAAGTCCTTCAGCCCACTTAGAGATTAATGCGGCCCTGAATAATTACCAAGGTGTTTCTTGGATAGCCCTTGATAGAACTACAGTAAAACATGTCCCAAAAGCCTGTCCCACTTTTGGGGCCCCGTCACCAAACACTTGGAAAGCTCTACATGGAAATCCTGATACCGTTTCATTTTCAATGTTCTTTTCTATAGTAACTCCCGCCCCCAATCTTCGGACACCCTAAACCTGCATAACCCTTAGACTGTATGTACCCATAACTTCCCTACATAACCGTAAAAAGTCCCTTATAGCCCTCCTAAAGGGCTCCGCATTACCCTAAACCCAAGCTTTGAAGCCCAAATGTAAGTCCTTGACGAGGCAAGGCTCAGGTTTTGGACGAAGGAGATCCAGGGAGCTGTGCAGGTGCACCATTCCCAGTTTGCGTCATTGGGCTCAGGTTTTGGGGTTAAGGATTGGGGGAGATCATGTCCAAAAAAAGGATCCTTAAGATGTTATACATGTGGGCTTCAAAGGAAGCGCGTCTCTGACTTCCTGCAGAACGTCGTATGCGATAGGTTCTCATGAGCAGCACGTTGCGGTCTAGATGTTTTGGGCTGCATCGCACATGGGGTTTGTATGGGACAGCTTCAGAAAGCTCGGCTGCTACAGCACATTCCACGCAGCCTGTACATTCCGCTGGACTTTGGTTTTTGTTTTTTTTCTGACTGAGCGAAGCCAGGTCCACGAGGCTGCAGGACTGGACGTGATCGTCGTCAAGGCACAGAAGCTCCTCGAACGGAGCCAGGCATCGTGGGCATAGGATAATTGTGGCAACAGCGATGCAATAAGAATTAAGATGAACAATGTGATGAAGAGAAAGAGGGGCAGCAACCAACAGCATCGCAATGTTTGTATTGGGGTTTATTTGTGTGCTTGCCAGAGCTGGTCTTCCTTTTTGTCCCTTCTGTGTGTTTTGAATAGGTGAGTCTGATGTGTGAGAGGCCGCTGTCATACTTACGACATTCTTGTCTGCCATGCATATGTCTCCGGATGAGGGTCATGTCTGGTGCAAGCCCCAAACCCTGAACCCTTTGTTTTCTGTTCTGGTTTGGTTGTTGGCGAGGGACAACTTGTTTCAGATGCAGCCACCCTCAAAACGCGCAAGAAAACTTTGCTTCGCATCAGACGCTGCAGCGTTGAATCTCGTACTCCGCCTTTACTGTTGGAGCCTGGACGCTACGCCAAGATTTCCGAGCAGAGCAGAAGAATCACAGCTAAGGGACTAGCGGCTAGTCATGTCAATGGTGACTATCCTGGACTCATCAGTCAGGGCTTGCAGCATTCATCTCCTGCCTCGCCTGCTGCAAGTCTTCAGGTTAACACTCTACAGCAGATGATGCAAAATCAAAGAGAACTGCAAGTATGAAGGGTGGTGTAGTGCCGCTTACACTCCAAGCAAACAGCCTGTACCGTCACCATCTGCCACAACCTCTAACCCTGCTTTGGTGCAATAGCCCCTGCACAAGCCGAAAAGCCTCGGAGCGCGTCAAATCCTGAAAAAGAAAAGCCTCGAGCAGGAAGCCTTGGATCACTTCAAGTCCAGGACTGGAAATAACAAGGTGGGAACCCAGACATGCTTGTTTATGTCTGAAGGTTATCCGTCTTTGCATAATCCAGTCATACGAAACAGCAGAGAGTCATGCAAGGCAGACAGAGATCCCAACACAAATTTGAGGCAAAAGCCATAGCCGCACCCAAGATATGAGGAGGGCTGAGCTTGGAAGTCGTAATCGAAGTTCGCGATATGGCATGTGAACCAGCTCATCAGTATTCCATTGAAGTTGTTCAACACGATGATCTCGACATATCTTGCGGACGTCCATATCAGAACCAGAACTCTAAAATTCGTTGGCCTCACCACCGGCCTCATCCAGGGAGCGGAGGCGTTTTTTGGAAGCAGAGTGTTGGCTGGTTCGCCTGAACAAAGATTCCTGTAAATAATTTGGTGCTCATTCCTGCCCCAACCTATGATCTACCCATTCCGAGCTGCTCAGGGTGTTTCGAAAAAAGGTGTTGGCCCTTTCCTGAGCTGTCCGCATACTGTTATGAAGGGTTTTTGTGAGGAAAGTAGCGAAAAAACGTTTGAGATTTGGCACCACCTGAAGCCCAGTGTGGTCTTTCAAGACCTTATGGACACTCACTTTCGAGGGCCCGGGTACCTGAACGAGCGCATGCGGATTTCCCTTAAGTACAATACGGGTGCCAACTTCTGGCCCTACGGCCCTAAGCCCAAAACCCGAAGCCCCGTAAGCCCTAAACCCCCTAAACCCTGAACCCTAGGCCCCCACTCTAAACCCTAAGACCCCTAAACCCTACACCAAAAGCCCTGAAGCTTAAACCCTAAAGCTTAGATCTGCTCCAGGCTTAGTCCTCGGCCGCGGAAATGGGGGAATGCTATTCAAAAAGTCAACTATCGGGGTACAGGTCCTTGTGTAAAACTCTCCGATTTGGGGAACTGTAACTTAGACAGCTCCTAGATGTTGGGTACTGCCCCTACCCAGTAACAGTCTATATTAGGGAACCTATTAAGGGCTATATATAACCATATTATAAATGTTTTCCAACTGTTACTGAGTGGGGGCAGTACCCAACCCTAGATGATTTTCAAGCCCATCACTGCTGGCAGGTCCCCGACGTGGCGATTAGAACCCTGGAGCGCGACATGAGAGGTCTTGAAGTGCAGAGTGAGGGTGTTTTACAGTTTGGTGTTTAGGGCGGATGGCTTGGGGATGTTCAGATATTGGGCCCACACAACGAGACATGCATACTCGTGGCCTTGCTGGTGTTCTGGGCCTGATTATTATTCTGAACATGTGCGTGGCTTGAGTAACAGCACCTGTGGATTGCGTGCCAGCTGAAACACGGCTTGCTCTTCCTGCACAGTTATGAAACCTGTGTCAAGCCGAACTTCAAAACGAAAAAGCCCTTAACGTAAACCTTCCAGCCCAAACCCCTTCAGTAACATCAACCGCCTCCAAACCTCTGCCTTCAGTAGTGCAGGTTTACAGCTGGTGCTACCTGGCGGCCGTGTAAGCTGGCTGCATGCAGAGGGCAAGTAGGGTTGCAGCAGGGTTTGGAAGTTATCTCACAGCGATCCAGCCAGAAGCAATACAGTCCGTGTGCACGTGCGTCAGTTGCAGCAACAGCATGGAAAGGTCAATACACATGCGGGGGTTTCGTCTTCAAAGCAGGGTGCTAGCTTCAACTGAGAGCTCCCCCTCTTGAAAACTGGAGTTTGGAGTCCAGAGTTCTGATTCTGGGGTTTGAGCTTTGGATCCTTGAAGAATGATGTGCTTTAGGTCCCCAGTTCCCAAACCCTGCTTCCTAAACCATACACCTGCTTGCCAGGCGTTAAAAGCTGATTCATAGAGCCTTGGAAAGTCCTAATGCAGGATCTCTCCAACGTTGCGCTGGCCACGGCGTCCATCGAGCGGGTCTTGGGAGCTGTGGAGCGCTACGCGGAGGAGCTTCCCGAGGTACGTTTGGGACAGTCGTTCATACTGAATAACTCGAGCGGGCATGGGGCTGCCTATATATATATATATACATATAGAGATATATATATATATCTTACAGAGTAAAGAATTCTAGTTTCAGGTTCTGCCACAAAAGGGAGGCTTTGGGGACCTAGAGATATCCGGAAATTTAAAGGGTTTCTGGGCTCCTCCCAAGCACAATCATCTGGCCCCAAAAAAAGACATGTTGATCCTTTTTAGGAATCCTCTATGCCTTTTGGGCATGACTCTCCTTACTTAGATACAGCTATGACTGTGTCTGTCATTTTTCTGGGGTTGCCGGGATTCAGAAATCAAGATCAAACTATGGCTCGTTTTCTGGATGGCCCTACAATAAGGATCCTACTACTTCGGAGTGTGTAAGATGCAAGCCTGAGTTGTTAATTACCCGAACGAGAAACAACCTGGAAGCGGAAAGGTGTAGGTCCACAGATTTGGGTTCCTATTGGAGTGCCGATCCTTGTATCAGCATCTTTCTTTTCAAAAGCAGGCAAGCTTCCGTTTAAAAAAAATCACAGAGACGGTCATAGATTGGTACCTCTGATGGTCAAAACATCGCATCTGAATATGAAGCTGTACGCCCACATTGCAGGCAGCAGGGATTCAGCATCATGAAGATATTGTTTCTCCGTCAGGTCATCGCTGCTGCTGAAGCGCAGGCTCGGGACTTCGGAATCCTGGCTTCTCCCACTGTTTGGGGTTCAGGGCTCTCCTCTTGCTCAAGTCTGGGGCCCGCCCGTGGACATTCTCATGCCTAGGTGGAAGATTAGGGATGTGGAAGTAGTTTACAGGATGCCCGAACCATAAAGCCCTGTCAGCCACAAGACGTCACAGACAGGCAGGTTTCTGAGAACTGCGCCAAGAGTGTCTCAAAGGTTCGGTTTCTCCTTTATAGTCATGTTCAGCTGGGAGCTTTTGATTTTGGGTGCGTATGCCAGCCGATATCAAGCTGTGCATCCACGTTGCCTTTTCTCGACAGAAAGCCAAGGAGACATTTAGTGCCATGTGCACTGGTTGCATACACCTTCACAAGAGCTGCATCGGATGTTCAAAGCTGAGATCTGGACTGAAGGTGGTACGATCACAAGTGCGCACGCGCAAGGGACATCCAATTCTCAAGGCGCTTCACCAATTTCAAGACCTTACACCCGAAGGCTTAAGCACCACACCTTCGGCCTTCGGTTCAAACTGGAAGCAATGCGGAATGCAGGTTCCAAAAGGCCTCAAGGAGGAACTTGTCGAAGAAGCAAAGGAGTGTGCACTTGGCTGCACCAGCAAGATAAGCTGTTGGGGTTCTGCAGAAGCGTGGCATGAGTGACAGAGCTATAGTGCTGACTAAGAAGCATGCTGACATGATGGCCAGTGTGAACACAGACGACCGGGTTGACTCTTGCCAGGGCATCCTTGCCATCCAGGAGCGCTAAGCACTGCTCAGGTCAGAAGGACTACGCCAGCACCATCGAAGAGTGGCTTGACCTGGAAGTGAAGAAAGCTCAACTTTTAAGTTTACGCTTTCTTGGACGTTTTTGTTGGCTTCTTTCCTAGGATTCCGGGCTTTTAGTTTGGTTCTCTTAATTCTCAATGGCAATGTGTTGTTCTTGTTTGGCTTTGGAGGCTTGGTGGAAAGCCCATGAGGGTCACGAGGCCAGGTCTTAGTCGTATGCGCACCATGGGATAGAGGAATAGAGAACAGAACTCCCAGAGTCTTCTGTGCCTGATTGAAGTTTTCGAACAACTTGAGGGCCTGGGCTCGGCACAGAGAGCTTCGGGGGCTTGAAGGTCAAGGGTTTGAGGCTCAAGGTAATTGGTTAGGTGGCTGAGTGTGTTCCGTCAGGTTCCTGACAGATGCCCAGTGTCTGGATCTCACCATGGATTGCTTAGAGACTGCGCGAGCTTGTGAGCGCAACCAACAGCCCGCTTTTGAGACATGGCCTCCGATGCTACTGTGCATCTTCGACCCAATAGTTTCGCATCCGAATCGAAAAATTCTTGAAGTACCCTTCATGAGAACCAGGTCACTCTTTGCAATGTGACCCTTGTTTTATCTTGCTTACAGCAACAAACTTTCTTTGATTCAGCACGCTGAAAAATGTTTGTTCCACTACGACGACTAACTGGCAAGCCTTCAATAAAACACTTGCATACTCTAGGCTACATGTAATACTAGGCTACATGTAATGGCATCCAGCAGCATGCACCACGTCTAGCAGACACCTGCATCCTTCAAATGCGATTTGCTCAGCATGCTGGTATTTTGGGACATCCAAAGAACAAGGAGGAAACTATGAATCATTTTTGGGGGTAGATCCGGGCACAGGAAATCCACATGTAAGACAGGTTGCACCTGTGAATACAGGTTGGAAGATGCGATCGCAGATCCTCGAGCCGAGGGCGAAGACTTGAAGGCATCAGACTTAGGGCTTTCCAGTAGTTTCCATTCTATTTTCCAGTTTCCCAGTATAACCCCAAGATATCCCCTATATAACCCTATCATAATATAGTATAATAGTAGTACCAGGTGCCTCAGATAGTATGCCCAGCTTTTTGAATCACCAAAACAGAGCTGCCCAGGTATGTATTACTATGGCCTCGCAAGTTGGGATCGAGTTTCGTGAGTGCGGCAGTTTTGCAACATGTTTGGTGCAGCCTTGAGTAGTTTGTGGTTTGGGACATCTAGACAGGTGAAGGTTTTCATTGCTTATGCTTTACAAAGGTTCAAGAGGTTGAGGATTGGAGCTCCTGCCTGGTCTGTTTGGAAACTTGTAGCTTTTTGGTTCTGGGTGGCTAGCAGGTAACAGGTGCTGTGGGTAGGCATCAGTACTGACGTTAACAAATGTGAACCAAGACTGGGGATCTGAACATTGGATGCCTGGAGCTCATTGCAATTTCTGCAACTCCCATCCACACAGGCTCTTCCAGACTTTTAACCAGTTGCGAGCGCATTCAGAAATGTGCTTACAACTTTACTTTCCATTCCGATAGGAAACATCGTGACCAGTAGCACAAGTAGAAGCAGCAGTATTGCACTTGCAGTCATGTAGTGGTACCGCATCATTGACACATGCACAGGAGTATTTCAAAATGACCCCTACATACCATTCTGAAGAGCATCCCTTAAGTTGGGTTTATGGTCCCCAGAAATTCCGCGGGTATTTAAAGGCAGCCCATTCCGAGAAACTCTAAAACCTACGCCCTAAAACTCCAACTCCGGTTCTCAGGACAAGAAACCAAGCATGTTCTGGCGAGGCTGCACTGATCCGCGCTCGGCTAGCTGGTGCACCAATGACGCTCATCGACCGAGGTGGGTCGGGAAGCGACAGGGTTGCGACGCTGGGTTACTCGGGAATGTAGAATCCTCAGAAAATCTGCGTTACAATCCATTCCCAAGTTTCCTACCAAGCACACAGTAGGCCTATTCCTAAAGAGGTTTTGTGCAAGGGCGCCGCCTGAAACAACACCAACGGTGAAATCAGGGTTCTCATGGCTAGCAAGAGAGTGCTGGAACCAAAGCTTCATGGCAATTGCATTACGCTGTGCGAGGCTTTGCGAAACTGGAGAAGAAATTCCCAGATCCTTGGCATTTCATGTCCCTTATTTCCAGGTTTAGGCTGCAGGGACTTGGCATGCCTCCTTGCAAAGATGTTTTATTGCTTGGCGCCGCAGTCCGAGATCTGAAAGAAAGAACTGCTGAGGCGTTCACGTCACCTGCAACTCTGAAACTCTGATTTTCCGCTGCTGAAGAAGCCGCGGTCCGAGCACTGCGCCTGCTTTCCTTGTAAAAATCTCCCTATGGTGGACGGAAAGGATCTACAATTATGTTGTCAAGAAGTTTTCCCAAAGAAATCCTAAGCTAAGCTGGAGTCCTTGTTTTTCTCGTTCCGAATTCCTTAAATGATTAACCCCTTCGAGCCAAGGAATGGTTTGGCTACACGAAGACTGAGCTCGAGCTGCTTGTAGCCAAACAGGCGGGCATTGAAGTCAGAAAGCAACGTGCCATCACATCAAGTCACGTAGAATGATTCTGGTGATAGACGTTAGCAAGGGAGGCATGAGTGCGATTCAAAAAAGAACCTCATGAGCAGCCCTACCGTTCCCAGAAGCCCTGAGGCTCAGCGTGAACTTAGGCTGGGCATATTGCCCCAACTTCTTAACCCCTTGAAACTCCTCCTGCTTCCTCAATGGAAGATCTGGGACCAGGAGGCGGATGATATCCAGGAGCTCTCGGCCGAGGGCCGATTTCTGCGGTTACAGGCTGGGGCCAGGCAGTATGGCATGGGAACTTGGACCAAAGAGTTTTCGAGTCCATAAGATCAGAGCACTTGCTGTGAGATTGTTCCACAAGATATTTGTCCACTCAACGTGTTACATTCGTTTGTGATAGTGGGCTTGTTGTGAGCGGCATAGCTTTCCTGACCACGTCCCTTTGAACGTTTCTGTGTAGGCCGTTAGCTTCTGACCATCAAGCGGCCTTCCACTAGGCATCTAGAAGGTGCTGCGCATGGAGCAATCATTGCTTGAAACTTGAAACAAAGCAGTCGTTCTCGTCAACACCGCCGTTTTCTGCCTAAGCTTCCTGCCCTAGTTCGCAAGTAGTCTCCATTAGGCTTGCATATGGTCCCTGGCAAACATGAAAGTCTTTGTATCAAAAGCGGCGATTCCTGCATACAGGGTTTGAACAGAACTATGCTGTGCTGTGCCCACGACATGCCCAATGGCCAGACAACTGCAGCAGCCATTGTTTGTCTTGTGGTGCATTGCAGCCGTGTCATTGCTTGTCATTGACTTTCATGATTCTAGTTAGTTTCCCTTCATTACGCGGACATTCCCACGAGTATCCTTCATATAGTCATATAGCTTGTCCGCAGTCATGGCGTGATCAGTACCATTAACACGGCCTTAAATAGTAGCTTCCATGTTCTTCTCCATTATCTCCATATACCCTATATAACCTCTATATAATCCCCATAAAATCCTTATATGAACCTTATGCCTTTGAAACTTCAGCAGCCGCAGGATGCTGCGGATGCTGCCCGCACATTGCAGCCACGGCTGGAAAAGAGCATCCTCGAGGAAGTCGAGGACTCCTAGGCTTTACTTACCGGTTCTTAGCAGGGAATAAGGAATCTTTATCCCTTTTTAGTTCCTATATAACTTTTCCCTTGTTCCCTGCCAAGGCACCGTGAGTTTATGGCCAGCTAGATTCTGATACTACCTTGTGTCATGGTAGGCCGGCACTTAGCATTCATTGTAGGGGTAGCCTGAGCAGCAGAAAAAGGTACGAGGATGAGTAGCGAGTATATGACTTCAGTGCCCAAGGATTTCTCACGACCTACTTAATCATAGACCTAATACTTGCATCAGCCAGAGGTAGATCCTTCCTCCGTTAGTTATAGTCAGGTGTTGTGAATGCGCTTTTCCTTCTCGCTGTCTGCGGATGGCTTGACTCCTTGGAGTTGTGTCAGTTTCAGTTTGACCTCCCAGACAGAGATACAGCTCAGGGCACACTTTGCGCAATGCTTTGCGCGAGGACATCTCCATGGCCTTGGCGGCCGAGCGCTCGTTTGTAATGGCCGTGAAAGAAGCCAAGGACATTCTTGCAGGCCCGTGCTCAGGAGGAGAATAAGAGATGGCTTTGGGACGGCTCGTGCGTATTGCCTTTCTCAAAACATCTTGGTCCATACCATAACTTTTTCTTGACAGAGTATTGACAGCACGGGGTGAAGCTTTCTCCATTGAAGCCAGTGGAATCCCAGGTTCATTCGCAAAACATTCAGGGCCATCTCTGTTTGGCTTCAGCTCTTGGTGGCCAGGTCTTCCCATGTCCCCAGAAGACGTGTCCTTGTCGGCCCTGCGGCTGGGGCATGCCATCCAGGCTGGCAACCCACAAGCATGGTGTTGTAGCATACGAAGCAACAGCTTCCATGCATTGTCATTGCGAAACACAACATACGCGCACATGAACACGTTGTAGTGACAATGTTGACAATGTCAAAGGGCATCCCGAGGTTCATGGTGGAGCTTGAATACCTGAAGCCAGAGGTCTGAGCATGGCAGATGCGCTAAGGTTTGTTGGAGGCAGGCTCGAAACAGGTGTCGAGGACCACAAACACGTGGAATGGCAGGCATGCGAGATGTCTGCGCAGGAAGAGGCAAAGCAACTCGGCTGTCTTAGTTGTTTTGCATGCTATGGTGTGCTCCTGCTTGTGTTTTCTTGTGCTCCGCACGGTGGACTCTTGGGCGGTAGTCTTGAAACAGCAACGTGTCTGCCATTTTTAATCACTGAGAGCTCTGGGCTATTTGTGCGATGGCTAGCTAGCAAAAGTCCAGGAACAAGGTTCCTTGCAGCAAATACGTGGGTATCATCCCTTCATGTTTCTTTCAACTATTGCTATCTCTTCAAACCAGAGACCCTTATCCTTGAAGGATCTCTAGCTGAGGAAGGGCATCTCAGAGGCGGAGGAGCTCCGAGTTCTTTTGGAGGAGGAGGGCAACAGGACAGGACCCTTCATGGGGTCTGCTCAGAGGGTTTAGGATAGCTGGACCGGGAAATCATGGCAGGATGCAGGAGCAAGCTAATCAAAGTTGAGGGTGCAACCATGGTATTTGTGCTTCTCCAGACGAGTAATCAAGGGCTATCAAAACTCTGCCGCACAAGGCTGATTTCATGGAGGCCGCACCGATAAATCAAGATTTTGTATGCTATAAGCACTTTATCAGTTCCATCGTAAGATTGTTGTTTGAGGAATCGTTGCGGAATCAGTTTTGGCGGGAAGCGGCTTATCGGACCAAGTGATGACAGGGATAAATGGCCTTGTTTCTGATGACTTGGAAGCATTGATGGGCAAGCCCCAAGTAGGATCTGGGCCTGAGGTCATCAGGAATGCAATGCAGAAAATCATCTGATTTGCGCAATCCCCTGCTAGAGCCAGGCATCCCTGCTCCCACAATGAACACGGGAAACTGACTGCTGGGAGGTGATTCTATCGTTTGATGCGATGTCAATGGGTTCACGGACCGTATTCGTCGTCGATCGTGGGTTTCGGCCTGTATAGACCCCCGGCCTGGCTCCTGTGCAGCTGAGAGCATCCAACTGTCAATATCCGGCGTGCAAGGCACTTGCTTCAACGGGCTCACTAATAACTGCTGGCAGAGAAGCAGGAATCAAGGGAAAGGAAAGAGAAAACAGGGGAGAACGAAGAAAACAGCACCAACTCAAGAAATCCAAATCAAAGAGAGGGTGTCGACGCGGCATCTTACGGCCATCTTAAAAGGAACCATCAGGGGGGAGACTCGCAACCTAGCAAAAATCACTCAACAACATAGGCAAAGAGAGGGCGGAGATTACCAGAAAAGCCAGTAGGGCGGCAGGGGACAGGGAGTGTGGTCTGCATGATGAAGGATGCACAAGAGAGACCTCTAAACATCAACTACCTCGCGAGGCAAGACACCAAGCAACATGGTCCCAGCCTACCTGCTTCAGGGCTCACATGTACCAAGGGAAGCACAACTGGTGAACGCTACCGTGAAACTCATGGCAAGTAAGCTGATAGCAGGACGTGTCACTTTTGCATTCTGCCGTGAGATCCGCAAAATTCAGTGCCCGCCATACTACCCGAAGCCACCCCGCAGGATCCCGCTATCCACATCCAACCCGACCCGAACCCCAAACCGCAGCACCAACCCAGGACCCGGGGCAGCCCAAAACCGGGAGCTGAAACGGGAGAGCACAGTCTCAGCTTCGAAAAGCGGCCTAATGTCTTCTGCCGTCACGCCTTGGGCGAGTGGGCTTAGCAGACGCACCGTATTCGCAGTACTCGGGCCCTGCGAAGGCGTTCAGAAGTCCTGCAGAACGCTATCGCCATCTCCTCAGATCGGGGGAGGACAGAAGCTGCTCACCGACAGATTGCTGACACTGAAAGGTTCTTATCTTATCCTTCTGCCTAAGGTACAACTAGGACATGTGATACTAGAGGGATGGCATTGGTCATGCTTTTTTGGGGCTCCTCTAGCTGTGGAAGGACCATGGCGGGCAAAGAGGGATGCATTCAGGGCATGGTTCAGGTGTTAATCCAGGGTGCCAGGCAACATATTACTAACATAATGGAACCAGTTGCTCTGTTGTTTGGCTTGGGTTGTGAATTTGGCTTGTCAATGAGGAAACGGATTTGCATGACATTCCTGCGCATTGCTTTCGCAGATGCATGTGGCATTGGATTTTGTTGTGGCTTTGCATGGCAGGGTGTCCAAGGTAAGCCATACTCCATGGTCAGAAGCAAGACACTAGAATTTGATAGTCTTCTCATTTGCATGGTTTTGCCTTCGGGCTGTAAGCCTGAATGCAGAACCTAAAAGATTGAAAATGATGCGGAGCTTGGCAGCTGAAAAGAGTCGCAAGCAAAGTTCACCATGGAGGGTGTATTAGTGTTACAACTGCCCAGGCTTTCAGAATGCTTTCCCAAAGCAGCTAGGCAAGCTGCATTGCTAAAGCTGCTGGTTCAGGAGCTTGCGTGATCTACACGTGGCCATCACTGGCGCAAGGGAGGTCGGAAGACACGGGTTGTAGCTGCAAGCGCTGCTCATAAACTGATTGTTTGTGGTCCTGCACCTGAGCACGGAGCTAGACTCTAAGCCAGAAACTGCAGCCAAACGCAGAGAACTCCAGGCAAGCGTGACGCCAGAGTTCCTCCAAGAGCCCTATGCTCGACTCAGGCCAGCGCTGAATTTCCTGTGAAGCATTCAAGACGACCTGCAGCAGCAGTAGGAGATGGACGAGCAGCCGTCATGGTCTCACGAATTGTGGTGCTATCATCCGCCTGCCCGCTGCAGGAAGAAGAAGCTGGACTTTGTCACGTCGGCCCTGCGGCATTTTGTCCTGATGGGGGTTTTGGCCTTGTTGCTCACTTCCCGTTGAATTCCATGTTGGAAGCTGCACCTTTCAAGCTGCTTTCAGGGTTGATGAACGGCTTGGACGAAACTTGCACAAAATCTTGACCAGATAACTACATTTTGTACATGCCAAAGTGTTCGCGTTTCCGTGACACTTGCTGCCTCACGCAAACTGTAACTCTGCCTGACCTCGACGTCGATATGTTTTATTGTTTCACGTCCAGAGCCTGTAAGTCAAGACAGGAGGTTTGAGGTGAGACCCCGCAGCAACTCCTTCTGCAGTGACTGTACATCACTTTTTCCCCACACGACCGTCACGCATGTATGTTCCAAAACTCCAGGCCATCGCATCACCTACTAATGTTGTGATGCTTCTGGATGTTTGCCACTGCCCTGTGCTTGCAATGTTGCGGGAACTATGCGAACCTCGCCCTCATTGTAGTCTGCAAATTCTCCTTAAGCAGCACACTTTGCCCAGCAGCCAAGGAACGCCTGCGCAACTGGCAAGTATTCTCTAGCATTTGCGCTGTACCACAGAGGCGCACCCATGTGCTGACAGAAATCACGCGTGGCAGACATGGACCGTCGTGTACTGTATATGCGGATTATCTTTGTGTATAGGTTGTATGTGCAAAGGCTTGGGTTGCACGAGGCCGAATAGGCTTGAAGACTTTAGTCGGCATTTGTGGGCTTTGAATGCATTTGATGCGCAGACTTGAACAAGGTGGTTGCCCAAGATGCTCTGTAAGGTTGGACTTGTAACCTGTGACCTGTGCCCTGTGGGCTTACACTTGTATCCGCGCTACCAAACTCATCGTGGGTATTTGCTAGGTTCTAAGAGTTGGTGCAGTCCTAGAACAAGGTGTACGTTCAAGCCAGCAAGCCACTTTTCCAATACCGATGTTGTCAGACGGAGGTACTGCCGGCATTTTGGGACGTATGAATTTTCCCTGTCGATGGGGTAGCTGCTGAGGTCTGGCTTTGAAGGCGTTCGAGGAGCGAAATGGCGGCGAATGGCGAAGTGGTGCCATCCAGGTGGACCCCGGTTCCGTTTTGAAAGAATCCTTCACGAGCCGGAGTACTTTCACCCGGTCAGGCAATTTCCATCAGTGGTGATTTGAGTGAGAACCACCAGGGAACTAGCTGTAATGGTTGTGTGTTTTTGTTCTGTTGAAAGGCTATTGTGCATGGGATGACAAGTCAAGAGCATTCTTGTGGCGATACATTTTTGGGATCCGAGTGCGCGTGAGGCAGCCCCACCACGAATCAACGGTAAGTCTACCTAGAGACCTAGTATCCGAACTCTATTGCACGCATCTTACCTGGATGTCGAGCAGGCTGAGATCAAGCGCCTGCGAGCGGATGTCTCAACAATCCATGGGGAGCAGCATGGCTGATAGAGACCTGGAGGCGTACACCGCCAAAACTGCAAACCTGTATTTTAACGCCTGTGGAGATGCTCAATTTGAGCTAGCTATAGCGGTTGTTATATGCGGGGGAGAGGACATCAATCGAACTCAACCGAAACGAGTCAGATTGAATGGTCAGGTCAAAACAAAAGTCGTTCGTCATGGCTGAGCTGCAGTGAGGGTAAGTATCCTCGAACAGAAGTCATACCAAGGCGACATGCTACTCATTGCTAACATCAACGGAAAAAAGGTGTTAAACCAATGGTAACAACAAGCAAGGTTTGTGATCGAAACCTCGGGCGGCGCTTTTGGCACCAGCACGTGGCGCAGGAATCCTTGCGCCTTTGATTGCTCAAATTTGAGGACAAGCATATGTCCTTACAAGGAAACTGATTGTTCACCAGGGCCTGAAGTAAGTTCTACTTGATTTCATTCAGGGCAAGTCATACCTTCTGCGCAGGTCTAGGTCTAAAAATCTGATGTTGTTGCATGCCCCCGGATCCAGGTTACCTCATACGGCACTCCAAGATGGAGTTTCGGGAAGGTTTGGAGCGCACAATAAGCAAGAAAGCCGCTCGGGCCTCAGTGCTGTGGAGAGCCTCTCATATCACCTGCATTTTAGCCCGGAGCTGTTTGGCTGGTATTTGCCACGACCCTATTCTTTGCTTGGTTCTGGAGGGTGTGCATTGCCCGCTGCCGTTCTGCAATGGGCCTGCTTCGTTTCGCCGTGAGGATATTGTCTTTATTCTCTTTGTTGGTAGGATTGTGGCTGGTTACCGGACATAAATGGAGACGAGCCACATTTCGTCCGTTTGTACCTCATTAACAGCATCTCAGCCCGGCCTATCTCAGCTCCTCATCTCAGCACCCCGTGTTGGCAACAGGACTCAGTGGCCTCTTGAACCAAGACTCCACAAATTTGCTCGAAGAAGTTGTTGAATTCCGAATCCACACTTCTGCCCTCGCGCCCGCATGTCTACCTGGGCTGTGAGGCAGACACTCGCGCTTTGCATTATATGAGTTATCCAACAGCCACAGACGCCCGCCACAGACACAGAATCCTACCTGCATCTGCAAGAAACATCCCTGAAATCCCATGTGGTGCGCCTGGGGTTTGTTTACCCTCCTTTCAAGCTGGCACGGATCATTTGCCAGAGATTAAAATGGATTGTCTCTAAACAGAAACACCCATGAATGAGGAGAAGAAAGTTGGATCCAAGAGAGTCTCGGCAAGCATCTTCAGGAGGAGCTAGTAATGTAGTTTTGGGTGCATTTATGTGCATGCAATCTGTCACAGGTAACCCGCACCCAGGCATGCCACAAAAAGAAGTAAGTGAAGAATTCCAAAAGCTTTATTGCCTCTTTTACGCAGCTTGCAAAAGTTGAAAGGAGGCGGAATGGGCCAAATGCTGGTGAGACACATTTGTTTCTGAAACCAGAAAGAAGGGCAGCATGTGGAACAACATCATCATTCCTCGTTTGCACTGCTGTGGCGTTGTGTTTCCAAGCCGGATCATGTTTTACTCACTTTCCTGGCCCAAAAATTGATCCTGGAAAGCAGAAAGCAAGGTTCTGCAGCTGGCGTTCGAGTGTCTTTTGGCACAAATGGTGTGATGGAGCGCAAATTGCTGTTGCATCGTGCCTTCTCATGGCCCATGGAGTTTGCACACATAGGTCATAGTTCTGTGCAGATGTAGGATGACGGGGGCTTTCAACAGCCCATGACCTGTAGCTTCTCTCCTGAAGGCTGCATTTTGAAGCCCTCATCCCGCGTCTTCGCAGGTCGGTGGCCCTCGCCGAGGCAAGCGATAGTCCTGCGACGATGGCTGTGCACGTTGTGCGGAACAACAAGGACTGCCAGAGACATCAGCATCCCAAAGCCTGATTCTAGAGCTGGAGATCCAACCTGAGAGCAATTGATGTATGATCCTTCTGTGAAAGGAAAGAAACCAGTCTGCATTTCTCTGAAGATCCTAAGAAAAAACCTTGCTGACGAATCTTGACTACAAGGACTTGGATCTAGGACTGGGAAGCCGGTGCTGGAAGTCTCTACAGGGGACGGAGCGATAAAAGAACGATCAGTTTCACGCTTGTACGGTTCCTCTCGTTAACGTTTTAGCCTCCCACCACTGCAGCTACCTGTGCCATGTTGAGAGTTGTTTTGCACTGGGCAGGAGGTGCACGAGGCTGGAGCTGGATACATGCTGATGCCGGGCTACGAGGTTCTGGCTTCCTCGCATGACCGGCAAGGGCTCAAGCGGGTTGTTTGATTGTACAAATAACGACATGATGATCTGAACTCGCTGAAAAGCAAAGGGCAGTCAGGTTGGGATTTCGTGTTACTTGTTAAAGTGACGATATCTGATTGCCAAGGGATGATGACGCCACGGAAAAAATGCAAACTTTGTGCACACGTGTACTCATGATGTGAAAATCAGCGCGAGGAAGATGACGACATACCGAGCTGTGAGTTCGACCTCCCGCCTTCCTCACAGCCACTCTTCATTGTGCCCTCAGCCGCGTACCTTGGCAAAAGCAAGAGTGGCCACGTGGCACTCATGGGCTGCACAAGCAGTGATGTGCCAAATTCCTGCTGAGCATGGCTTCGGTTTGCTCTTGAAACTTGTGCACCAGTGCCCGCACAGGAAACACCATGTTGAAACTTGTGACTGGAAGTACGACATACCTAAGTTGTTGAGGTCAAGATCCCAAGCCGAAATTGATGACAAGAAAGAAAACTCACAAAAGAAGCAGCACCGCACCCCTTCCCCAAGACAATGGTTCGGATTGACACGACGGTCAGCTTTGGTGGTTCCCTCTTGTCTAAACTGCAAAGGAAGGGTGAGTTGGGCCCTTTCACGCTCATTGTGAATGCCACGGAGTCGGTGGATGTGATCAGGCACCTGTGAGAGGGTGCGGACGTTGCGCTAGACTTGTCGGCTTGGGAAATACGCTTGCCTGGATTGATGATTTCATTGCGGCGGTATTCCTAACAGGGAGCTTTGTCAGGCATGCTGTGTTATTGGGGCTTTCATGGTTATGAGTGACATTATGTTTTTCCAGTTGTAGAGTACCATTTCTGTTTCAGATCTTTTTCCTCCTAGGTGTCTTGTCCTAGCAGGAGGCTCCGGGTAAGCCTCGTCCTCTGGTTTCAGATATCCAAAACCTGTTGTTTTGCTTTCCGAGCACTTTGTGCCCTGGGCTATCATGTAAGAGGAAGTTCTTTGCTGCAGTTTTTCATGAGCAACAAGTCCTCAAAACTGGGCAGGATGGGAAGTTGCAGTGCTCATCTGCAGGTCGCCGAGCCTACCATTGCAGGCAACAGAACCTTTAAGGTACTCATCAATGTGGGGTTTCCCAAAATTCTATACTGGGGTCCCCCTATTTAGGGGAGGTACCATGTTGACCCGTGGTCAAGATGCCGCATGTTTGAAAGTGCCACTTTTACCATTCATGTTAAAATTTGGAGGATTCCACCCGCCAACTGCGAGCCACAGCGCTTCCAACAGACCTTCGAAGTCAAGTGGCTTCAGGACAGGAAGTCTTTATCTGTTTGCGCTATTACTTCCGTACATTCTGAAGAAAGGTTTTTGGGCAGTTGCACAGATGCTGTTTCCAAGGCCTACTTGGATTATAGTGAGGAAAAGGAAGGCATGAAGATGCTGCTTTTACAAAGCAGCGCATCAGTACTGTCAAAAGCAAGGTCCTAGTAGCTGAATTGTATGAAGCTGACACGCAGCAACGCCCGCATAGGCTTCCAGGCACTTGCCAAGCCTCAGCTGAAGCCTTGCCTCGGTTCGGTGTTGCATAGACTTGTACATATTACATATGATACACGAGAATATGAAAATCTTTTGTACTATACTATGTACATATGTTTTTATGGTTGCAGTTTGTAATCCATGTGGATGGAGAATCAAACGGAAATTTGAAAATTAGATGGAAACTGACATTCCTTATCGGTGAATCTTGGAAGTAGTTGCAAATCAAATTTCCTGCAAGGAGCGGCCTTACCAAGTCATCATGGGGGGCGGCCGATTCCGCAACCGCGCTCCAATGGTCTCGTGGCCCCTCATCTGAAAACTACAATCCATCAGAAGAGCCTTCTTGGAAGGCGTTTTGGGGTTTGTCTCCTTTTGGTCCGGAGCAGATTGTCACAAATGGCTTACAAGTCTGAAGGCAGCATCGGAAGCTAAAGTTTTGCAGAGGTTTGAATCCATATGCAGGGTCGCCTGGAAGCTAAAAGATTTGCGAGAAGCCTTGCATAGAGGACGAATCAATCCTATAAGCAATGTACTTTCCAAAAGCCAGGAAACCGTTAAATGTTCAGTGCAATCTGTTGAACCCTATTACTAACATGCTTTATTTGTCTGACATTCGGGCATTGGTATCTTCAGTTTGTCCCCTTCTCCGAGACTTCCATCTCAAGGTATCGCAATCCGCAGTTCCGGGTGAAGGTGAAGCAACCACAGGAATCACCGCAGGACCTGCGCGCAAAGCTTGTCTGCCGCCTTAAGGTTGCAAGTTGTATTGAGTCAGAAGCTTCCGAAGCTGCAAGCGTTGTCAGGAGAAGTGCTACCCCAACCTTCTTCATTCTGGGGCCAGAGACCAGCGCATTGTAGCCTCCAATCCAAGCCTTGATCTGTTCTACCACTGAAAGAGGCAATAGGCGCAGTGCCAGGGACAGCGCAATACCTGTCAGTACCAGGAGCCACCACCCGAACCACGCTCAATGCTGGCACTGCCTGCGCCAGATGCATTTCGTAGCCGGACCCCGCCAGCCAGGCCAGGGTGGTGGATGGCTGTTTGAGCCATTCGCCGGCCCATAAAGAGTCAGCAGATTCTGGTGTCAGAGACGCAGCTTTGAGCTTGGGGTCGGGGTTGTCATCCGGACATGATGGAATGACCGGGGTCTCCCTACGCAAAGTTTGAATGCAGGTTGGCTTTCATTTGATTAAGTAGGTCATTGTTGTGCCAAGGTAATCTCGACAGGTGTTAAGAATAAAGGTTAGCCCACACTGCATGTACGTCCACAGCATGGTTGAAGCAAAAGATCGACAGAGCCCTATGACCGAGCATCCAGGACCCTTACAGTGCACGTGCATATTTGTCATTGTCACCATGAGGTTTGCAATGGAATCTTCTCAGGATGCACGTTCAGGTTGCATGCAGTTGTCAGGGACTGCGTCACTTCGCAAATCAGTCCAAACCAAAGCAAACTTAATTCAACCGCAAACCTTCTTCGCGCAACATGGGGCAGGTAAAGTATTCTGGCGACAAAGACCTTTGAAGTGTTTTGTTTCCTTCCTGCTTGCTGTTTTGGTCAGGTCCTTCACTCAAAGTATGAAGAAGCCTTTGGCACAGGTCCGGCAAGCCGGAGTCCCTTGGGCCGGTGGTGCCAGTACCTCGCCCAAACACTGCCCCCACGACGCCTGCGGGCACGGAGAACTTGGACTTGAAAAAGCTACGAACCTTGGACTTCTTAGGATCCTTGTAGGTTGAAAGCGATGATGGCAGAAAACGATGCGTCAGCAGCAAGTAGAGGCTTGCAATGTGTTGCACAACAAGATTGCAATGTATAGAGTTCTTCGAATCGGTCTGAGGGTTCGCTACCTTTCCCCTGCGTGTGTCTGCCAGTGCAAGAGCGTAGAAATGCAGCCTCGGAGTCCAGGAATGATCTTCGACAGCGCCGATGTGCAGAGAAATGGAATGGCTCTTTGTTCCAACCTAATTAACAAGCACTGAGCTAAAGACTTGCTGCATGGACACGTTCCATGGGCAAGTTGCGCATTCCGCAGGGTCGCAGGTGTTCAGTGGCTGCAGAACTTGTGATATTGATGGGCAATGCAATTTGCGAAAGCAAGCTAGTAGAAAGAGGCCATCAGCTTTGTAAAGCACGTGCGCGAAGCCCAAGAGGAAGCCTGAAAGAGAAGGTGAATAAGCGGGAGCTGATCAAAGCAATCCGCCGTGATGGGAAGATGGCCGAGTTCTTTGGCCTGCCCGCTGAGATCCGGCAGGAGTATAGCTCGATATACTTGCAGCTAGGTCTTGCAGAAATTAGTGCAGGCTCAAAGTGGAACTTTGTGTTTTTGTAGTTACATTCATGAGGGTGCTTTCCTGACCTGCTTCCTGTAACAGCAGGGTGAACCAGTCGCGTTGTTGGAGGACTTGGCCGGAGAGCATGAGGCCATGTCCAGTCGATGAAAGCGTTTGCACGCGCAGTATTCTCAGCCCAGCAAACTCAGGCTCTACCCCTGGAGTTTTGATATCAGCTGACCCAGAAACAGCCCCCTTGTGAGGAGGATGGTTCCCGAGATCAGATGGAAGCGCTGTTTCAGGCTGCTGGCCCACACCTTCCATGGCGAGTGCTCTTTATCAGGTTCAGTTGTAATTTGTGCCTGGGGGTTCTGGGTATTACCCTTGCAAGTGGGCGGCATTAATCTTGCGAGTGGGCAGCATTTAAAGATGGTGAGCATGAGCCTCGCTGCATCGTCCATATGGAGTGGGATTACAAGAAATAAGGTGGCCCAAGATTGCAGTTGCACTTGTGTTGCAATGCCGTAATGCCCAGGTAAATCTATTGCCAATTCAGATTCCGTTGGCTCTACTTATCCGGGGCAAGCAGGCAATGAGTTCGCACCATGATCCACCGGAATTGCGCGATGTTTGAAAGCCTGGACGTCCTGGGATACAGGCCATGGACAGCGATTCGGATCGCGAGATCACTTGGGAGGAATTCCTGGCGTTCCAGGCGTGAATCTGTGCACCTGCGATGCTTCAAGTCAAGGCTTGAAGGATGTTTCTCAAGCAGGGTACACTTTGCGGTAGGCAGCCCCAAAAACAGAAAAGCCTTATAACTGAAAAGGAGACCTTGCAGATAAACACCTCATCCTTTACCTACACTGCACAAGGCCTCTGTGCACCTGCGCAAGTCGACATGGGCAGAGGCACGTGCCTCCTGTGGAGGAGGTTTTGGAGAATCAATTAGTTAGAAGTTAGAAGACAGTCCAGCCAGTATTTAGACAGATCTGCAGCACAATGACGCAAAGCAAGTTGCTACCCAAGTTTGGCACAAGCGGTGCATTTTGCAGCCTGCTTGCCAGGATGCCTCCGAGGTGAATGCTTCCAAGGCCGGGTCGAGGGGTGAAGGCAAACATGAGGTCCCACTTGCATATGATGTGTGGGTGCAGGTTTATGCCCAGCTTGCCGTTTTTTTGCGTGCGATTCTCTGAGCACGTCTGCAGTAGCACGTTGAGATTGAATCTTGCGCCCGGACTCTGCCAGTCCGAAGTGGACTTCAGCAGCCTGGATGCCAACCCACCCCCGTTGCTGGCACCTTGACGGCAAGGAGGACCAACTTGTGACCTCACCTGTGGGCGCTGTGGAAGCTGTTGGAAGAAGCAAGGATTCTTCACACAATGTTGAACACGTCAGCGCCAGCATTTGCAGAGGTTTTGTGAATTGTAGTGCCAGCTCAGGTAGTTGCCATGACGCCCCACGGACGCCCGAAGGTCAGGTTGACAGCCCTTCTATCAACTGCAGTCCACGGCATGGTAGCAAAGCGATGGACAATGCTGTTTAAGGGTTTAGTGCATCACATCCAAGATCCGGATTTCCAGAGTGACGTCATTATAGCAGGTGACATTTTGGCTTCATTGCATGACTTGCCTTGTGTCAGGATTAGTCCTCTCAACATGTCCCTCACAAACTCCCTGAACCGTGTCACGTTGGCTTGAACAGGCTGGGCCAGCAGCAGTGCACATCTTGCGGAACATTGAGGGCAAGGGTGAGGACGGGAAATTTGGAATAGGTCCCAGTGGCCTACATCGTGGAACATGAAGCGTGTCCGACGTTGCCTTAGATGGAGTTGGGACAAATCATTTGCCACTACGTGGGGAACTTAGGAATTTGCACAAGCTGTGTAGCCCACTTGTTTTCCCAACTTGTGTTGCAACAGTGCGCAGTATAGGCCCTGGGGGATGAAGTGGGTGAGAGACCTGGGAACGTGTTCCCACCGACAGGATGGGCTCCTCGCGGAAAACCCCAGCCATCACCATGCCCCTGTGGCCGCACAACATATCATGATAAATCTTTCATTTGAATGCAAGAGCACTTTAGAATTTGTAGCGTTAGGGGAAGTACCTGTGGAATGTTAGCATGACAAGCTTCAGCACATCAACGCTTCGTGCTTAGAAATCAGTTGATCGAGGACAAGTTCTGAGAGCTTCAAAGGAGTAGAATAGGCTGATGCCCGCCTTTCCTGGTCTTCAGAAGCTTTGTCGGGTTAAAGAACGAGGCACCTTTGATGTTGAGCGAATTGCAATGTTTGACCATTGATTGGGTCTGGATCTTTGGACCCCACAAATCTAAATCCTTTGCCAGATTTTATGCTTCAAGCCAGAAATTTGGATCCCCAGCTCCCAAACGCTTTCAGAAGTTTATTTGACAGACGCGAACCCAGTCAACCTGAGAAACCCTAAGATACAGAAGCTACGTAATTGAAATATCTTCTTGGCAGGTCCTGGCCCAAAGCGGCCTTCGACACATAGGCCGGGAATATTCCAGTGCCAGCGAGGCGGGCTGACCTGCAGAAGTGTGAGGTTATTCTGACTAAACCCTAAACCCTAAACCCATGGGCTGCAGATTTCAAAGCCACTCCTTGACGGTTTCCTCGAGAGAACTTGTGAGGTGGGTGCTGTTCTGCGGCTGCCGCTGGATCGGCCAGAGGAGCCATTCATCGTGGCCTGGGATCCTAGTTGGTCAAAACACTTGAAGTGTTTTTGCTCAAATATGAACCCAAGTACGTGGGACAGGAGAATGTTTTTGGAGTGACACTTTGTGAATCGAGTCCAACATGTTTCTCGACAGCTTTGCAAGGTGCCGTCCCTCAAATCCACAAACCACCAGGGGCGTGGCTTGGATGCACTGTGTAAAGTCTATGCACAAGTTGCCACTTGCTGAAAATCGTACGCGCTGCATCTTTCTGTGGAACATCGCTGCTCCTTGAGTTTGCTGTTCTTTTATGATGTGGTTATGTGCAGCTAATTTGTCCTGGTGTCGGATTACACTTAAACCCTAGCGCAGTATTTTCCAGTGACAGCTGCAGTCCAGACCACAACAAGCATCTTATTCAAAATTTGCTTTTCACATTTCAATTGCACTCCAGCTGTACACTCAGGTTTCACTATCACATTCATGTCCACGCAGGACCGCGGAACAGCATATAGTAGCATGGGGCAGGCTTGATTGAGGTCACTGCCAGTTTCTGGTGATTTGTTCAGGAAGGCTCAGTGCGGTCCGGAAGTCAATTTGCGGTATAAATAAATCTACGTGCAAGATTTCGTCACCATGAGTTTGATGCCTATGCTGATTTGAGAATCCGTTTAGTTTCACCCAGTCACATGCGAACTGTCTTTTGAGGACATTGAAGTTGAGCGCATTCAATGAAGCACGCTGCTTCAAAAGGAGACGAAAGCGCGACAAGTAGATCAATGGCTTAAAGCAGAAAACATACTGTCTGAGTACAAATTATCCTGAGCGTCATTGGGTTTAGGGTCTCAGGCATTGGGACCCTCTGACAATGAGCTAGCAGAGTGGGATTTATTATTGGAGTAGCAGCATGTCAAGTTGCATGGGTTCTTGGGTTTGCATGAATCAGAAGCATGGCCTTGTAACGCCATCCTTAGGATAAAGACATGTTTTCATTTAGCCTATTTATACCTGACACCGTGAGTTTTTCGCAGGCTTGGCTCATCACGCAATTGTTTCACCTGCAGCAGCATGGCGAAACATGAAAGAGCCTACATATCAGATGGCCAAGAGACATTCAACTTTCACCTTGCTCTGCTTGCATGCGCGTAGCATGTCTCTCTGCTCAATGGCAGAGAATGGCACCCGCCCAGCAGTAAAATTCATTAAAGTGTCATTCCCATTCCGAATTTGCAACGCGTACCATTGATATTCGTGATGCTTTTACTTCTTCTAGGATAATACCAGCGTAACTCAAACAGATCAATATCAGTGCCCCCACTCGAAGATATAGCCAACAGGAGGATAATTTGCAATTGAAAATAGACCAGAAATATTGATGATACGTATATACATATATGAATTTTAGAAATTCTAGTACTGATGCGATTAGGGCTATCAATGACGCAATCTTTTAATTCTCATCGCTTTGGTGGTTCTAATTCGTTATTTTCATATACTCGTCATTTTTGATGTTTTTGGGTTTCTCGTTGTATCTTATAATTCATATTAGCTTGCAGCAGTGGAGCATCGTCATTGGAGTGTACTCGTAACGGCAAGCTAGCTGATGGAGAAAGAAGAACACGTGGAACTCCAAATCTTGCTTCTTCGCAATTTGATATCTCGCATCTTGAGATATTTTGAAGTTGAGAGCTACAAGGCTAGTAGTAATTGAGGGAACTAAATACTTGGGGGTATTGGTATGTCTGTCAAGCTACTCCTCTAAGAAGTTGGGACCCATCTCGAAGCATCTTTGACGGGGCGGATTTACAATCTTTTTCTACTACCCGTTTTCTACGTATCTATACACATAAGCCGCTATGGTCGCATGAAATTCAATTCGAAATCCGAATCGTAACGTATCTCTATTTCTTTGATTTGGCGGAATTGGGGGCTCTGTTCCCTTAATATTTCTTGAAATTCCGCGTAATAATTGCTTAATTTAGGGGAGAGTATCTTCAGAAGAATCTACGAGAACCTAATTTGATAGCGGGAATTTTGTCGTTGATAATTCTTTTGAAGTGCTAGATTCTCATAGATTTCGAGGGGTTTGATGAGGAAATGATTTGTTGAGGAGATATTGTCATTAATCTTAATGATTTGAAGAAATTCTTTTGTTACTTTCTTTACGCGCCGTACAATATATTTATATAGGGAAGGCTTTTGTACGTAAACGTAGTCTTTCTTGGTCGTTGTTGTAAAATATGCAAATAGTAGTATCGTGTCTTCTTCGGTATCAGGTTCGTCGAAATTTTAAAGTTTGCCTATTTCGTTGCGATAAATTGCGACTGGGGATTGTTAAATAGATATAGTATAACCAAATTCAAATTTTCCGTGGCTAATCTATATTTTCTGGAAGGTTTCAGTTCCTTATCTCGGATCTATATATTTCGGCGAGTCGTTGCGTAGGGCATCTAGTGACAAGAAAAGATTCAAAATCGCAAGAGATTTTATTCTCCAGCTCGATCTTCTCATACTCGATCCTTCAAACGATTATAGAGATATCTAGTTAGGTCCTTCGGATCTCTTGAATAACGAGATTTCTTTCTTCTCACTCGATACGTTGTCTCTAGTTAGGTTAATATGCGGCAGATCGGAAAGCGTATAAATGATCTTGGGCAGATACGAATAATTTATAATTCTGAAAGATATCGTGAAAGTCATGATCGTGAAAGGTAAAATTATTGTCATTTATAGAAAGCTCGGGTAGCTTCCAGAAATAGCGTCTTTTTTTAGATTTGGCTCGGATCTTCGCATCTCAAGAGTATCGATAATCCCAGAGATCGCGGGAGATCGTGTTCGCAAAACGTAAATTCTAGAATTCTCGTCGCTTTTAAACTCGTCTTAGTTTTACGCGTTGCAAAAATGTCAATAGCTTCAGATATCGGAGGATCGCGGTCGCGAAACGCAGAAATATCGTCATTTTTGGATTCGTCTCGGGTCTACGCGTCTCAACAGTCTCAATAATCTTAGGACGTTTCGGAGATGCCGTGGTCGTGAAACGCAGCCAGAATCGATGTCACTTTTGGACTCGTCTCGGGTCTTAAAAGTGTTCCCCCAGTCGCAAGCATCGGCGGGATCGTGAATGCGAAACGCAGAATTGATGAGAATTTTTGGATTCATCTTGGGTCTTAAATGATCGTGAAATGCAGAATTGTCATCATTTTGGACTCGTCTCGAGTCTTCGCATTTCTAAAACGTCAATAGAGGTTGGAGATGTCGTGGTTGCAAAATATAAAATGGTTTGTTTTTTGGACTCGTCTCGGGTCTTGGTATCCCAAAAATGCTAATAATCATGGAGATGGGGGAGGTCGTGGTCGCGAAACGCAAAGTATCGTCATTTTTCGATTCATCGTTGAATTTCGCATTTTAAAAGCGTCAATAGTCATGAGTGACTCAGGCAGGTCGTGGTCGTGAAACGCAGAATTGTTTTATTTTTGGGCTCGTCTCGAATGTTAGTGTCCTAATAATGTGAATAATTGTAGGGGTTGGGGAGGTCGTGTGGTCGCGAAACGCAGAATTGTTCGTCTTCTGGATTCATCTCGGATCTTTGCGTCTCCAATATATCAATAATCCCAAATATCAGATATAATGTGGTCGCGAAACGCAGAATTGTCATCAATTTTGGACTCGTCTCGAGTCTTCGCGTTTCTAAAATATCCCCAGTCCGAGGGATTGGAAAGGTCATGGTTGCGAAAAGCAGAACTGGTTGCCTTTCAGATTCGTCCCGGATCTTGGTGTCCCAAAATATCAATAAATATAAAAGAAAATGGATAATGGTATGGAAATTATAAGAATGAAGATTTTCAAAGAAATTTTATTTCATAATCACAATGAGAAAATCAAAATTAAAAAATTGAATTCATGATATATAAATATATGAATATATGAAATCATGGCAGAAAATCAAATAATTATAAATACGTATCATATATATATAATGATGATAAAAACCCGTAAGCAAAACCACTTGAAAAAATTTGGTCCGGCGTGGTCCATATTTTCTCCTCTTCTATCTTTTCTTCTCTATTTCGTCTCTCCTCATTCTTCCCTCTCTTTCCCGCCTTCTTCTTTCTGATCTTGCTTGTCATTTCCGGACTCCTCTTTTTTCTCTCTTTTTTTTCTTCTTTTCGTTGTCTCCTTTCTGGTTTTTTCTTTTCATTTTCTTTTCTCTTCTTTCTTTTCCCTCGTCTCTTTTTTCTTCTATCTAGAGGCAAGGCCCAAGGAAACGAGATTTCTGTATTTCACGACCTCATCTTGCCTGATTCTATGGAAACGCGAAGGCACAAGATAAGTCCAAAAGTGACGAAAATTTTGCGTTTGGCGTTCCGATCTTTGCAATTGTTAAAATGCGAAGACCCGCGACGAGACCAAAAATGACAACAATGCTACGTTTTGCAAGCACTATTTCTTCATCCGTGAGATTATTCACGACGCGTAAGACTTGAGACGAGTCCGAAAATGAAGACAATGTTGCGTTTCGCAACCTCGAATCCTCCGATCCCCATCGAAATTGCACAACCCAATACGAATCCCAAAAAAAATAATAAATGTTTTTTGCGAGCACCACACCCCAAGCGCCTCAATATTGTTGACATTTTTCAGCCGCGAATACCCAAGACAAGTCCAGAAAGGACGACAGTTCTGCGTTTCAAAACCACGACTTCCCCGATCCTCGTGATTGTTGACTCCATTGGGACACCAAGACCGGAGACGAGTCCTCGCGACCATGACCTCCTACCATTCCTTGATTCAACTCCACCCGCTTCCAACAGCGGAGGATATTTTCGGGGTGGAACCGGCAGCTCAAGGTTATACAGAAAAAATTACATGGATTTATTAAGGGTTTGACCCTTTCATTCAACTTCAATTGTTCAGTTGAAAAAATCAAAGCAAAATGTTGTTGGAGTGCAAGCTTTCATTGAATTATGCAAATTCATGCAATTTTTTTCCATCAAAACCACAATCCTTTGAAGCTCAAAGCCTCAATTGCCAAATTTTAAATCCTTGGTTCCGAAACCCGTTGCCGTTCAAGTATAAAATCAAACGGGAAACAAGAAATTCTGTTTCGCACCCCAACGATTTATTTTGATGCCTTTGATGATTCTTGCGTTCACAGCCACCTTGACATCCCACAATTTTTGATGATTCTTGCTTTCACAGCCGCCTTGACATCCCAAGTTTTGCGAAAAATATTTTTGATCCACAATTCAAGAGCGGGAAAGCGACCAAGGAGAAAAAGCTCGCGTGATGTCAACAAAAAAATAGGTGTGCCAGTGCACTTTTTTGACAAAGCAAAAATGGCTTCGCCAACGCATATTTCGATGCAAACACAAATACATTTCTTTGCAATGTTCCTGCGGCGAAAATGATTTCTTTTGTTGACAAAAGCCACATTGACAATCAAACAAATGAGGCATGTTTGCAAGGCAAGGGCTAAACATCACCGCCAAAAAAAAGCAAAACTTGGTTTTATGTTACATGTCCAATTTTCACAGCGACAAGTAATTGGAAAAAAATGTTGCAGTTAAATTTCAAATCATGCTTTGGCCATGGCAACAACCATCACCCAGTGGTGCGGAAACACACCGAAATAATTTCCATAAACCTGGCACCACAACATTTGCGGCAATTGGTCAGGAACGGTGTTGCTTTTTTTCTTTCTTTTTTTTTATTTTGCTTTTGCCGAGCCTGGGGAA